CCCCCCCCGCCCCCCAGGGCAACAACTCAGCTGCCCTCCTGACTTCTTAGTTAGCCCCCCCCATTGCAATGGCAACTATTCTCGCGTCTGGGCTGGGCCAGCCTGTCTTGGGCTGTCTTTGGGCCACGAGGCGGGGCTTTCCCTGGCGTTTCCAGCGATGTTCCTGGCACTGCACGTGTATGTGATGTGTGTGATGTGCGTGGTGTGCATGTCGAGGTAGTATGTGCATGATGTGCGCGTGTGTTTACACATGTGTCAGTACGCGTATATGCATATGCTTCTGAGTTGTCGCAGGGACCTGCGCGTAACAACATCAGACGAACATATTATGTAAATGCCAACGTATGTATTCGAATACGTGTACACAAATATGTATATGCATGGGTGGTGAACATGTATATGATGCATGCACTGCTGCCGCGTGCAAATACTGCATGTACTTCAGTCAGATATCAAATATGACTTGATCCTTTCTTCCTGCTCCTGCTCCTCTCTCTTCCTGGCCCCTCCTCCTGCTCCTCCTCCTCATTTAATTGAATATGCGCTTGCCTTGGACAAGCGCATCCCCCTGCCTGTGGATGATGCCCCCCATGGGGCCCGCCCTTTTTTTCTGTGTGTTCACGCATTATAAGCCCCCTGGGGCCGCGAGGGATATAAGCCCACGCATCATGCATTTCACCAGCGCGGTGTTGCTGAAGCCCGCGGATGGGGAGTGCGAGAAGATGATTCTTCACGCGTCGTCTTGTTTGCCTTTGAACTCGGTACTGTTTCTTGCCCCTAGCCTTCGGGTATAAAAAGCATGGTAGTCGTCTCATCGTCAGGGGGAGGCCCCTCTCGTCCCACCACCCCTTTCCTCCTCACTCCAGTGGGGGGAGCAGCAACAGCAGCAGCAGCAGCAGGCGGAGGCCGGCCAGACCACCCTCCACTGAGCCCTGCAGGCCCGAGACGCCGTCCCACCTCAAGCCTTCCTGTCCGCCCTGCCTGGCCCATCGCGGGAAGGGCACCCGCAGCGGTCGCCGCGGCTGCAGCGCATATTAGCCCCGCTGTAGCTGTTCCAATAGAACCTCATAGAAGTGAAACTTACCCCCAGCAGGGGGGGCGGGGCGGGGGCGGGATGATGGGCTCCGTCGTCGTCCGTCCCGCCCCCATCCCATCCCCCTGCCTGGGGAAATTTTCACCTCTGAACCGGCAGAGCTCCGTCTTCTGCATGTGAGCCATGGTGGAGGATGCCCCCCCGCCTGCAGCTACCCCACCAAGCCTCGGGCAGGCTCAGGGGGGCTCGCGCCAGGGGCAGCTTTGTCGGCGCGCGCTGCACTGGAGGTGGTGGACGAGGAGATGGAGGAGGAGGAGGGAGAGGAGGAGGAGGAAGGAGGAGGAGGTTGAAGAGGAGGAGGAGGAAGGGAAGGGAACAGGGAGGAGCAGGGGGAGGAAGGAGAGGGAGGGGGATGGGGGAGGAGGCGGAGGAGAACGGGGAGGAGGAGGACGAGTAGGAGGAGGAGGATGGGGGAGGACGGAGGGAGGAGGGAGAGGAGGAAGAGGGGGGGGAAGGAGAGGAGGAGGAAAAGGGGGGGAGGGAGGAGGAGGTGGAGGAAGAAGTGGAGGAGGTCGAGGATGGGGGGGTAGAAGGAAGAAGAGGAGCACTGTTCGGATCGTGATGCAGAGCAAAAAACAAATAATGAGGAACACGATCCGGTGATCATGATGCTGTGGTGATGATGGCGATGGTGACGAAAAGAAGGCGATGCGGAAAGCAACGGCGGCCTGTCATGGTGGGGGCAACAGCGGTTGCAATAATGCTGATGCCGACGCAGCAAAGGATTATTAATCATTATGCGGCAGTGGCGATGAGGAAGAAGCAGGGGGAGGAAGGGGGAGGAGGAGGGGGGAGAGCGACGAGAGGTGGATGATTATTGTGATGATGATGGCGACGATAGCGATGAGTGGGGAGGGTGATGGCGATGGCGATGGCGATGGGTGCGATGACGATGGCGGTGACCAGGGGGAGGGGGAGGAGGAGGCGAGGAGGAGTCGGAGGAGTGGGAGGAGGAGGAGGCTGAGGAGGAGGGCGGTTGTGGGCGAGGAGCCCATGAATGTCGGAGTCTCTGCGAAGGTCGCGGCGGAGGGCGAGGGCTCCATGGATGGGCCAGGGCCCCATGGTCCAGGACGACCTGATGGGTTGCTTGGTATGTGGCGATGCCTGCTGTGGCGAGGGCCCTATGGACGGACGTGCCGTATGCTCGTGGGCTTGCCACCCACATAGCCCCCCCCTGGCGTCGTCGACCCCCCCCCTTCGCAAATATTATAGCCCCCAACGAGATGCCCCCCCTTTCCGCCGCCGCCGCTGCACCCCTTACGCCCGCTGCTGCTGCTGCTGGTTGCATCTAGTGGCTCAAGCTGCTGGCCTGACGCACGCCAGGCGCTAACATACTGGGCGCTACAACTAGGCGCTAAACGATGTGCTGGGCGGGCTGCTGCCGCTGGAACTGCTGGTGGGGGGCTAATAATGCGAAGCGCATCAGCAACGACGAGGCTACTGCCATCACTTGGCAGTTCGCTGAAAGCCGCTGGGGCTGCGAGGATTCCTGGGTGGATGGCGCTTGGGTGGATTTCTGGGGCTACCACTCCAAGGCTACTGAGGCCGCCTACCAGTCCGGAGCTAAGTGGTTTCAGTTTCAGACCGACTACTACTTCGACCACGACGTCACCGTGGTTTTCGGCACAGGGGGCTACGACGGCGACGAGCATTGCCAGTACTATAGTAATGGGACCTACCGACGCGTGCGCAGGGTGAAGATCCTCATGCAGTGAGTGAGGAGCGGGGCTACTAGGTACGTAGTAAGTCGCCAGCAGCAGCGCGGGGCTAGGATATGATGAGGAGGCGGGGCTAGATGAGGACGCAGTGCAGCAGCCCAGACAGAGCCCATGACAGACCTGGTTAGATGTCGAGAAGAAAAAAAGAAGAGCGGAAGATATGGGAAGGAGGGAGAAGAAGGGGGTGTCGGGATGATGGCGGCGGTGATGATGGTGATGACGACGAAGACGACGACGGCGAGGGGGGCGATGGGACTGTGTGAGGGAGAGAGCGAGTGTGGGCACCCATGGGCGAGGTGGAGGAGGAGGAGGGCCTAGGAGGGCGAGGGCGACTCGAGGGCGAGGAGGGCCTAGGAGGGCCCATGGGCGAGGTGGAGGAGGGCCTGGAGGAGGGCCTGGAGGAGGGCCTAGGAGGGCAGTACCACCTCTGGCGAGGACGACGCGCGAGGATTTTATTATCAGTTATGAACCTTAATTCCTGGGTGCCAGATGCTGGTGGGCTAGGTGCCAGATAGCGCGGTTAGACAATCAGGTCGTGTTCGTAGGCGGCCAGGTGGTGAAGCACGCTTGCAACCTGTTGCAGGTGATGGGACTTTCCTCCGGAGAGAACGAGTACTGCGCGATCAGCGCCGGAGCGTGTGCCGGGTTAGGCATCCAAGGCTTGTTGGAGGACTGGCAGGTCCCTTCGAAAGTCAAGGCGGTGTCGGACTCTTCCGCGGCGCGCGGCTTTGCGTCGCGCCGAGGCGTTGGGAAGCTGAAGCACGTTCAGACCTGCTGCGCGTGGGTGCGGGAGAGGATCGTCATGCAGCACCTGGAGTTGGGCAAGATCGGCACGGCCGACAACACGAGCGACCTATTGACGAAGCCATTAGGTCGTAAGGAGATTGATGTCCACATGAAGGGTATCAACCAGGAGTGCAGGAGCGGTAGACCGGCGAAGGGGCTGCTTCTGAAATAGGGGAGCGGCACAACGCCGAAGCAGCAGGGGCGCGGGCATCCCCGCTCTTTCGGGCAGCAGCGGGGACGCGGGTAGCCCCGCTCCCTCGGGAAGCAGCAGGGACGCGGGCAGCCCCGCTCCCGGCGCCCCCGGGCAGGAGAGCAGTCCGAGGGGAGCCGCGGGCAGCCCCGCGCACCCCCCCGCGAGCTGGCTGCGGGCAGCCCCGCGCTAGCTTCACTTTCTGCGCAGTGGTGGTCGCGCTGGATCGCCACGGCTCCGCTACCGGTAGTCGTAGGAGGTAAAGACTTCTCTCGGCTGCTCGCACTGTGAGCCAACCCAAAGGGTTCTCTCGCAGTGAGGAGGGGTGAAGAAATCCCCCTCCGTCGGACTAGCTGTGGATAGGTATGTAGGTAGATGGATGTAGTAGTGCAGCATAGCAGTAGAATGCAGGAGAGAGCAGGGTAGCGTTGCATTGAATCATTGCTTATCTTCCACAACCCCTTTCGGCGAAAAAGCATTTTCAGACTTCGTTCTGCGGCGAGGGTGGGTTGCGAAGACGAAACGAGGGAAAGCGAACGCAGAACGACAACGCAGAACATTGTTTACGCCGACCCCCCGTGCATTCCAAACAGAACATTGGGTCGGAGCCCTCCCCGCCGATGGCCCCCAATCGGCCCCGTGTCGCCGACGACCCCCCGCGCGCGCCGAGGGCGTCTCCGACCCCCGGCGCGGTGCGCCGACGTGGCGGAGTCGATCCCCGCTGGCGGGGGCACCCTCCCTCAAGCAGTGGCGAAGCGTCCCGGCCTGCTTATGCAGCGGGGGCGCGCATCAAGAAACCATGTATTTATCGTCAGGGTATCCTGGGTTCTTCGCTCCTCGCGCTGCGCGGTGACTTCCCCAGCCGCTGAAGGAGCTGCTGCGTTCAGGGTGTTCCGGGTTTCCCCTCGGGTGCACCTCGCTCACGGGATCTCAGGGCTGGGTTTATTGCGAGGGTTTTTTGCGGCCGCGCCCGCACTGTAGGCCACCCCAGTAATGTCCTAAGAGCGTTTCGTGGTTTGTACCAGTTATTTTTGTTCGAGCATGTCTGGCCAAGACTGTTTTATTTGAGTGCGTCATCGGGTGTTTGAGTTGAGAATGTTGCTTCCGTTATGTGAGCATGTCTGGATTATAAGAACATGTCGTGGTGGGCCTATAGGAATGCCGGGACGGTCGGCCCTTGTTCAAATCCCGCGCCCATCATGGCAAGCGGAGCACACGCGCGACAACCCGCGCAGATTCGCGTTGGGTTCTCTTTGGCGGCGCCCCCAGCGCCGCCTTCGGCGCATTGCCCGCGCCGGGTCGGGGGATTGCCCGCGCCAGGTCGGGTAGGCCAGCGCCGATCAAGGAAATCCGCGCGGGACTTAGAGAAATTATGCTAGATGCAGTTTTCTCTTTCTCCGACCCACATGCGCACTTTCAACGCCGCAGCGCGGCAGAGGGGGCCCGCGCGCGCGCTCTGGCAAGCCGGATAACAGCATCGCGAGTTGACAAGTCTGACACGCGTGTGAGCACACACACACACACACGCACACACACACGCGCACGCGCACACGCGCGCACGCACGCACGCACACACGCGCACGCACACACACACACATACACATACTCACGCACACACTCACACAAACACGCACGTACACACGCACACACTCGCACACACACACACACGCGCGCACGGGTGCACACGTTTACACGCACACGCACACACGCACACACACGCGCATTCACGCACGCACTTTCACACGCACTCACACACACACACACGCGCACGCACGCACACACACACGCACGCGTGCACGTGCACACACACACGCACACACACATACTTACGCACACATTCACACACAAGCACACGCAAACTCGCACACACACACACACGCGCGCACGGGCACACACGATCACACGCACGCACACACGCGCACACACGCAACACGCACACACACACGCGCACGCACGCACGCACGCGCGCACACGCGCACACACGCTCTCGCACACGCACACTCACGCACACGCACACGCACACACGCACATTCACACTCACGCACATTTACACAAACGCTCACGCACACACGCACACGCACACACACACACACACACACTCACACGAACACACACACACACGTACACACACGCACACGCGCGCACACACGCACACGCGCGCGCTCACGGGCGCGAACGTTCACACGCACACGCGCACACACGCGCACGCGCGCACGCACGCACGCACGCACTCGGTCACGCACACACACACACGCACACACACTCACGCGCACACGCACACGCGCACGCGCGCACACACATACGCACACAAACACACAAACATACGCATGCATGCACGCACAACTACACACACACACACTCGCGCACACGCACACACACATGCACACGCACACGCTCACACACTCACACAAACAGACGCACACATACACACGCACACATTCACACACACACGCGCACACACATATATGCACACACAGGCACACACGCACACCCACACAAACACACACGCGCACACACACGCGCACACACGCCACACGCACGCACACACGCACACACGCGCACGCACGCGCACACGCACCCACACACGCACGCACACACACGCGCATTCACGCACACACGCACACACATACACACGCCTACAGTAACGCACTCACACAAACACACACCACGCACACGCACGCGCACACACACACACGCACACGCACACACACACGCGCACACACATACACACGCACACTCGCACACACACAAATACACACACGCACGCACGCACACACGCGCACACACGCGCACGGGCACGCACGTTCATACGCACACGCATACACACACACGCGCGCACGGGCACACGCACGCACGCAAACACACGCACATACACTCACGCACGCGCACACACCCACGCGTTCCCGCCCACACACACGCAAACACGCACAAACACTCGCACACGCACACACACACGCACACACACACACACTGACACAAACGCACACACACGCACAAACGCACATTCACACTCTCGCACATTCACACACACGCTCACGCACACACGCACACGCACGCACACACTCACACGACCACGCACACACACGCACACACACGCGCACGCGCACGCACACGCACACACGCGCTCACGGGCACAAGCGTTCACGCGCACACGCGCGCACACGCGCACGCACGCACGCACGCACACACGCACGCACACACACACGCACACACACGCGCGTGCACGGGCGCACGCGGTCGCGCGCACACGCGCACGCACGCGCACCCACGCGCGCGCGCACACACACGCACACACTCGCACACGCACGCATACACGCGCACGCACACACTGACACAAACGCACACACGCGCACAAACGCACATTCACACTCACGCACATTCACACACACGCTCACGCACACACGCACATGCACACACACACTCACACGAACACAAACACACACGCACACACACGCACCCGCGCACGCACACGCACACACACACACGCGCTCACGGGCACAGACGTTCACGCGCGCACACGCGCACACACGCACACACGCACACACGCACACACACACACGCACACACACGCGCGTGCACGGGCGCACGCGGTCACGCGCACACGCGCACGCACACGCACCCACGCGCGCGCGCGCACACACGCGCACACACTCGCACACATACACGCACGCACACGAACGCACATACACACACACGCACACTCACGCACATTC